GAGAAACAAATTTTATAATTTTGGTACATATTGCAGTTCATATATTTTAACACTGTATTTTATGGTGTTATAAATATTGTTAAATGACTTTTAGTGTAGTTTTACTGTGCGGACTATAATGTATAAATTATATTACTGTTTTGGCAACAGTAGGTATCCAACTGTGTGAGTTTAATTGAAGTAAAGAACACACACCCGGTTGAACTAGTTTTTTTCCCCTTGCATGTTTAGATGTTAGGTTGGAATGCTACAAAAATTATATTCTGCAACAGGAGACTGATGTCGGCCTCTGCTAATTGTTACCAAAAGTCAAATGAAAATCCGAAAGAATAAGAAATTAGGGCTCATGTTTTCTCTTAAAAGCGATTAGCTCTGTAATCCTAATGATAGTAGTAAAATATATGTCATGCAAATGCAATTACACAATATAGCTGGTATATAAAAATGCAGGGAAAAGTTCATGCTTCTGTAAAGCCAGAATTTATCTAAATTTTCTATGAAAATGGAGTAAAGTCAATTATCCTTTTATGTGACAGTAGAATGATTATGTCACAGATCTAATCTCAAACTAACATAGAAACTTGTAAGTTTACTCTTTCAACTTTGCAGACTACAATTTCATTCAATATATCATGGGCTCAAGGCATAAAAAGATGATGTTTACGTATATTTATCAAATTTTTGTTGAACATTGGAAGTTGGTAGGCAAATAATCATTATAAACAAAGAAAACAAAGACCCAAATTATGCAAAGCAGAAAAAAATATTGTAGCAATAAAATACCTGATAGTAATATGTACTTTACAAATGACATTTACATTTCTTTGATTCTATGAGTAAGGCATTCTCAATATAGGGCATTTGGGTATAAATACAAAGATGAATTAAAGAAAACATTTTCTATGACGTTACCATCCAACTAACTATTATTAATAATTTTTGACATGTTTTCTTTCAGTCATTTTCTATGTACATGTAAATGTGTGCATAACATAAATTTATATTGAGTTAGATTATACTATAAATACAGTTTGCATTCTGCTTTTTCACTGAGTATTATCTAATGAACATTTTTCTATATCACTAAATGCTTTGGAAATATAATTTTAATTGAATCATTTGTATGCTTAAGACATTTAAGATGTTTCTGATTTTTAACTGGGATGAATAATATAATAATATTTTTTACATGAATCTGAATTTTTGATGATTCCCTTAGTGGAGATGCCTAAAAGGGGATTGCTGGTCAAAAGACTATGAACCTTTTTAAGACTATTAATGTGCATCACTTTGTTCAAGCAGTAAACTAAATTCTGCTCATGGTGTACATGCGTCACATCAGTATATGATGAGAAGACGTGAGAGATTAAATAAAACTGTGAGAGACGATACTGCACAGTGGGTGGAGCAATGTCCTTGGGGTGATCAGACCCGTTCTTGTACCTGGGCTTGGGTGACTTTAGGCAAATCGTTAAACCTCATGTTTACCTTACAGAGAAAAGGAAATAATCACTTACACTGTAGGAGTAATTGAAATCATTAATATAAAGGATGTATTTCACTATCTGGCATAGAGTAGGTATGTAGTAAATATTTGACTGTAATCTGTTTTTTTTTTTTAATTTTTTTTTCTTTATTGATTTTAGAGAGATGAAGGGAGAGGGAGAGAGAGATGGAAACATCGATGAGAGAGAACATCGATGGGCTGCCTCCTGCATGCCCCCACTGGGGATCGGGCCCACAACCTGGGCGTGTGCCCTGACCGGGAACCGAACCAGCGACCTCTTGGTTCAGGGTCGACGCTCAACCACTGAGCCACACTGGCTGGGCTTTAATCTGGTTTTATTGTGAGTTTCTTTAAATAACAGTGAAATTGAATATTTTATAAATGTTTGTTGACCATTTGTTTCTTCCTCTGTGGATATTTTTCATGTCCCTTGTATTTTTTAAGTTGGAATACGATGGAGAGTGGGGCCAGCCCTTTATCACGTAACACTTCACATCTTCATGTGTTTCATTCTTTCTGGTTCCAGTTCTTTTTTAATTTTTAAAAATTTGTTCTCTATTCTTTTTCTTTTATGAAATTTTTGAAAATCAAATTCACTTTATTTTTTGTTTTAAATACATGTCCATTGTAAAAACTCAGAACATATGGAAAAATAAAAATAAAATTTAATTCCTAATCCTAACAGAGGTAATTCATATTAATACGTGGTACACACATCAAAATATTTTAAAATTATAAAGTGGAATTCCTATCTTATCAACATCATATTTTAGGTCAATAACACCAATAGATAACCACATGGTCAGAATAGCATCTTGATATTCCTTTGTGTAAAAAATGTAACCAATCTTCTATTGACAAATTTCTGGGTTAAGTTTCCAGATAGTCCATTGTAGAGCAAGGTTGCTTCATGAAATAATGCTACAATGAACACTATGATTTTTTTTGTAAAACTGTTTTATATTTTTATATTATAAAATCTATGTTTCCCTGTGATTTTATTCCTTTAAAAAAGTGATTTTTATTCTGGGAAAGTACCTAAGGACAAATAATTATTCTTCTGCATTTTTTCCTAATTTTGTTTAAGGATTTTTTTTTTTTTTTTTTTTTTTTGTCTTCTCAGACTTTTAATTTAGTGCATAGTGCCTGTTATGATAGGAGATATTAATCTTGGAAGAATACTAAATTAACAATTTCTTAGAAAACTGCCCCTAAATTCTTTTATATTGTAAGTCATTCTTAACTGATTTAGAATATTTCAAATACAGATAAATTCTTATTAGAGAAGCAAATGTAGATTGTTTGACCTGAACTTGAAAATGAGATAATCCATGCCCTCATGTATAATCTAGTAAGAAAGATGAAGCATGGAGCACAACTCTGAGGAATCAATTATAGGCTAATGTATGCATAAAAGCTAGAGGTAGTTTCAGAAAATGTGCTGACATATTGAGAACTGCTAGGTATTAATCAGGGCCAGCTTCCTTTGACGTGACACTTGAACCAAGATAAAACCAAACAAGGACTGAGAGGAACTAAAAGTGAGAGATTGCTTCACCCATGTGAACGAGCTGGGTCCTGGGGGTGAGTTCCCTTAGCAAATCCAGAGCTTTTCTTGACCAGGAAGAAAAGGGCTATCTCACCTGAAGGAGGAACTCTTTCTTTGGAGGGAAATAATTCTATATTAAGTGTCTTACTTAAACATCAAGAAACAAGTCAATCATTAGCTACTCTTTTTTAATATACAAGAGTTGTAAACTCTCACTTCTGACCTGAGGGCAGTAGATCTTGAAGAGGTGGTGGTAGTAGGAATAATGTTTAATTGAAAGGAGGTCAGGGGTACAATTTTTCTTGGACAGACATCCTTCTGATCTTCCGATTTTGAAATTTGAGGTAGTCATTCAAGACACAGAAAGGCTAACATATTTCCTGAGAGACATCAGCCATCACCAGAATAAATATCTACAATCCCAAATGAAATATGTAAAGACAGAAAAAAAGTTGGAGTAGTGGTACCTGATGTAACAAAGTACAGGAAGGTGATCTTAAGCGTCTACTGAAGCAAGTTGATCTGCCTTCAGGGTTCCAGAAAACGTTGGAAGGCAGGAGTGGTACGTAGGACTGAAACCAAAATGGACATGTTCACCCTCAGCCCATGCAGCCAGGTGACTGACTGTCCCTCTTCCACCCAGAAAACCAGGGCCTTCCTCTCTGAAGAGATTGAACCAGCAGTCTCTGGTTACAATAGGGGCACTGAAGTTAGAATAGAGAGATTAATAGAAAGTCTGCATATTGAAATGTAAGACTCCACTCCTCTATTTCCACCCAGCTCCTAGGCACTGATGGTCAGGGTGTAACGTTCAGCAAGACACTAGAGGCACCCTCTCTTGGGAAACAGAATAGCCACAGCGGAAAGAATTACAGATACTTATATTGGGAATCTCCGATAGGAAAAGATGGCTTGCCACTTACTTAATCACTCTACGTTAAAGCCCACTCATTTGGGAAAAAGAAATGTACACAAATGCAAATGTGATCCTAGTATGCCACTTAGACAGCAAGGACCAATACTTAGGTAGTCATTTTAACATAAATACTGATAGCGATTAACCACAAGCTGAAATGCTAATAATTAAGTTGACAAGGGAGAGGTGGGAGAAGAGGTCATATAAAAGGGTTTAATCTTCATCTACCATAATGAATCAGCAGAAATGTTTTCATTGATAGAATATGAGGTATTAATATAAGCAAATTAAGAAATACAGAGATAAATACCAGAAGAAATAGCTTTAAAAATGTTAAAGTATATTGTTCAGCATTTGCGGTTCAGTCTCCGGCCCTCATCGAGGTCGTACGAGAAGCAACCAGTCGTTTCTCTCTCTCTCTCTCTCTCCTTCCCTCCCTCCTACTCTATCTGAAGATACATGGAAAAATATCCTCAGGTGAGGATTTAAAAAAACACAAAAATTATGTGTTTGTCTCACTGTTCAGCTGGATGGAGGGTCAAGGAGCAGAGGGCTGCCATTTTTTATTATGATGCATTTTTTATTATGATGCATATGATTTTAATCATATGCCATTAAATCAGTATGGTAATTAAAGGAAACTACTCTCTGTTATAGAAATTAGGCCTGGGGTTGCTCCTTTAACAGCCAGGTGCTGGTCTAAAATAGGTACTAAGTAAATATTTGGTAAATGAATGATGGTCTTTTTAAAAAGGGATTTGATCATTATCATTTTTGTCTTGTTAGAGAAGCCATCCTTATTAGAGTAAGTTGTTATTCCTTTACCTGTCTACTTGAGTCCCTGCAATATACATTCCTCTACTAGATATTTAACAACTTTTAAAATATTTTATTTTACATAACATATTTTTTATTTACATTGTTATGTTTAAATATGGAGTTTCAGATAATTTTAAGGTTATACAATCAAAACATGCTCTAGCAGTAAGAACCTTTAACATCTATTATCTCTGTTTTCACTTCTGTAGATCTGAAATAGCTCAGCTCAGTCAAGAAAAAAGGTACACATATGAAAAACTGAAAAAGTTACAGAGAAGAAATGAGGAATTAGAGGAACAGTGTGTCCAGCATGGGAGACTACATGAGATAATGAAGCAAAGGTAATAAAGCTTTAATAATTAGCTAATGTGCCATAGAAATGCATTTGGTTCACAGACAGAATGGGAATTGCTGAGCAGAAAATAGAATTCATGATCACTACGCTACTTACGGGACACGCTCAGACTCTAATACTTTCGTGTATTTATGCTTTCTCCACTTAGGTTGTTCTTACACTACACAGAGAGGAGGGCGCACCCCCTCAACTATTCTCTGAAGACGTAGATCTAATATAGGACACTGTAGGAAAACTATCCACCTTTAAGATTTTCATTGGTAATGTAATATGGAGGATTTTTAAAACTTCTCCCTTAGAAATTAAGTTTTATATGTCTTTTTGGTAAGATAAAACATTTAGTAGGCCTGAGAAGGTTAAATATCTAATCAGAGGCTGTGCTGATAGTATTGCTAGAGTCAGGATTGGACTCCAAACCATCTGGTTCTTCCCCGTGGTGTTACTTTGAGCAAGTTACTCAACCTCTCTGAGCATCCGTTTCTTCATTTATATATGGAGGCTAATAATACCTACTTTACAGTTTAATATAAAAAGCAAATGTAATATATGTAAAGCATGTGGCTCGTAATAGCCAGGTACTAAGCAGCATCAATGATCCTGACTCTCTTCTTCTAGATGAAGAAATGTAAGCTCAGCCCTGGCCGGTTTGGCTCAGTGGTTGGCACGTCGGCCCGTGGACCAGAGAGTCCCGGGTTCAGTTCCTGCTAGGGGCACGTACCAAAAAGAAATGTGAGTTCGGAGAGACTAGTGAGCTTGCTCAAGGTGGCAGATTAGGTGGTCGAGTTCAAACTTGAATCTTGATCTTTCGACTCCAAATTCCTTTCCTTTTCTGTGCAGTATTTTTTGTAATAAACATAGCCCCTTACTCTTTCCTGTAAATGTGTTGCTTATAATTTCTGTGTAATGACGGATTCCCCGGGGGGAAATGTCAGTACTTTGCAGCATACAGTGACCAGGTTTCCTAGAGTCCAGCTTCCACACTGCCCCCCGGCTCCCCAGCCCTGCCCCATCCCCAGACACCCATGCTTCTCTGTTTCAGAAACAATCGTTGATATAATTGAGGGGAAATGAAGATGTTTATAGATTCCTTTTATTTTTTTATGTTTTAATTTAAAGTAAACCTAGAGTCCTCGGGGTGAGGGGATATTGACAACTTTGATCCCTTGTTCTGTTGAATAGGAGAAAGGAGGTCAGAAAGTGGCACCAAAATACTAAAATGTGGGTATATTTGCAGAGTAGTAATCATTCATTTCTTCACTCATTCAAATATTTGCTTAAGCCCAGACAGACCAGGGGTCAGCAAACTTTCTGGAAGAGGCCAGAGAATAAAATATTTAGGCCTCGGGGGCCACCATGATCTCTGCCGCCCAGTCATCTTTCTGTTGATTTTGTCTTTGTTTTCTACAACCTTTGAAAAAACAAAAACCATTCTTAGCTAGAGGGCCAGCAAAACAAGCAAGAGGATTTGGCCCTTGGGCTGTAATTTGCCCCTGGATTTGGCAACTAAAGCGTCCTTCTAAGATTACTTTTCTTACGTTTTTATGTTGCTTTCGAGTTCTCAGAATGCACTTACGCATGGTCTTAGCTCGAAACAAACCTGGAAAGTAGTTGTTGTCATTGCCGTTTCCAGGAGGAGAACTGAGGCTCAGAAAGATCAAGTTGCCAACTGAAGGTCGGATAGCAAATTAAAATTAATCATTCATTCACTCAACAAATATTTGTGGATTGCTACTATGTGTCATGTTCTTCACCGCATGCTGGGAATAAAATAGCAAAGTAAATACAATTTCTAGTCTAATAGGGAAGCAGGAAGAGCTTCTGACCTTATAGGAAAAATGGATAGAGACAAACTAATTTGATAAATATCGAATTAATTATAGTGACGGTCAATTCTATGAAAGAGAAATATACTCTGCGGTACAAGCACATTTAACAAGAGGATTTATCTTGACCAGGAAAAGTTTCAATGAGAAAATAACACTTGAAATGAATCTGTTGGCGACAGGGTAGGGATTATTAGCAGGAGTTGGCAAACTGTGCCCCAGCTCAGAGCGCATTTTGTATGGCTCAGGAACATGGGCATGTTCATTCACGTACATGTCTGTGGCTGCTTTCACGCTACCATGTCAGGGTTGAGTAGGTGAGTCAGAGATGGTGACCTATTGGCCCACAAGTCTAAAATATTTACTGTCGGGCCCTGTCCTGAAACTTCACCAGCTCCTGTTCTAGAGAAAGGAAAACTCTGAACCTGAAGGTCCTGCGGTTGTCCTTTAGAGGAAGAGATGAAACTGGTTTGACACAAAGAATAAGGGAGGCATGTGATGATGGAGAGGTAGGAGAGGGCCAGACCTAAGGCCCTTTAGTTTTTATTACAGACCTTTTACTTTATCCTGTTCCCTTTCAAAGGGAAGAAACTAAAAATCTTTCCCCAAAAAACAGAAAAACAATGATGTGATCACATTTGCATTTAAAAAAAGAGCAGGAGACAGTGGATTGGAGCAGAGCCGCGGTGTTTACACAGCACCAGTCTGGGAGCTGGTGGGCATTTAGTGGAGTGATGGGTGATGGCTTAGACTTGAAGTGATAATCAAAGTGATACAGAGAAAAGTAAACAGATTGGTGAAATATTTAGGAAGTATATCAACAGGACTTAACAATTGATTGGCTCTGTTGGATGGAGAATGCAGGCATATCAAGGACTAGTACCACTTTCTGAGAACGAGAGAACACTCAGAAGAAGCGGGTTTGTGGTGGAGATGGTCTGGGTTTGGGATGAGAACAGGTGCTAAGTGTTGGCCATGCTCAAATGGATACATTGAATAAGCAGGCGGACAAAAGGCAGCGCTCAGGAGAAATGTCTGGGACAGAGATAGAAATCTCCAGGAGCCTACAGAGGACATTTGAAAATTTGAGAGCAAATGAGATCACCTAGAGAAAAAATCAAGAAGAAACAAGGGCTTCCTGAATCCTCAAAAACACTAATGTTTTTAAAGGTAAGGTAGAGTTTGGCAAAAGAGATTGAGACAAGTAACCCGAGGAGTCGGTGGGAATGGGAAGAGGGTGTTATCACAGGTGCCGAGGGATGGGAATGCTTCAGGACAGCGGGAGTGCTGGTCAACCCTGCAAGCTGAGAGGCTGGACAAGACTGAGAAGTACTCATTGGGCTTAATGAATGGACACTGTTTTGTTACATTAACAAAAATATTCTTAGTGGAAGATTAAGTGCAGAAACCATGTGAGAGTGGATTGAAAAGCGAGTGTGAGTTGAAAATCTGAAACAGCACATTGAAACCTCTATTTCATGAGATTTGGCTGCAAGGGAAAGTGGAAAAAGCAAGACAGACCAGCCAACTGGTGGTGGGAGGATGTGCTGAGAGGGGCATTTGGAACAGAGAATTTTTTTTGCTTTAAGTCGGAGTAGATGTGAATGTATTAAATTCTGATTGCCAAGATTATTAAAGTTGTAAAGTCAGGAGAATTACATTTTTCGACAGCTGATTTGGAAGTCCTGGTGTCTACAGAGGCAGTCGGGAAATTCATGTTATAGATTGCAACGGCATTATTTCCGAGCTGTGCTCTAGAGTGAGTGTTAGTTCATATATTTCCCCCTAGAATACAGAGCTCCACAGTGTACACAGAGGTGACAAGCCCAGAGCCAGAGACTCGCTGAGCGTGCTCATGTGGTCCCATGTGGTCAAGTCCTGTGCCACCAACCCCCAGAATTGTGGCTGTTTTGTCAGTTACATAGTTTCACATCGTTTTTTCTTTCTTGTATCAATTTATTATCTAAATTATATACATAAAAACACTAACGGAAGACATGAAGCTGCTGATTGAAAGGTAACAAGCTAATAATGAGTTTAAATTGCTGTCTTCCGTAAACTAACCTCAGAACTATCTGTACTAAATCTGGCCGTTGTGTTTCTTCTAATAGGAATGTTAAAATAGGAAATGAAGTATTGGTTTTTATCTAATTTGACATTTTATGTTTTGGGGGGGCAGTAAGACTATTCACCATTTTCAGAAAAGTACTTGAAAATAGAAGCCTGACATCTTAATCTTTATCTCATAATTTAAAAACAAAATGAGACAAAATATTGGCAAATAGAATCCAACGATACTGACAAAGAATTGTATACCATGACCAAGTAGGATTCATCCCAGGTACGCAAGGCTGGTTCAGCATTCGAAAATCAGTGAATATAACCCAGCACCAGGCTAAAAAAAAAAAATCACCTGATTATATCAATAGATGCAGGAAAAGCATTTGACAAAATCCAAAACCCAGTTATGATTTAAAACAAAACTCTAATAAACTAAAAACAGAAGAAAACTTTCTGAACATGATAAAGAATATCTAGAAGAAACCTACAGCTAACATTGTGCATAATGGTGAGAAACTCAAAACTTTCCCAGTAAGATCAGGTACAAGGCGAGGATGCTCGCTGTCATGAACACAGGTTAAGATAGAAAAGTCCATCACTTTCATCTATAGCAGCAATGAACAAGTGGAATTTGAAATTAAAAACACAATACCAATTACTTCAGCACCCCCAAAAATGAAATACCTAGTTATAAATCAAACAAAATATGTATAAGATCTATATGAGGAAAATTATAAAACTGATGAAAGAAATCAATAAAGAACTAACTAAATGGAGAGAGATTCCATGTTCATGAATAAGAAGACTCAATACCCCAAACTATAAAACCTGTAGAAGATGACCTAGGTGACTGTGGTGTGGCGATGACGTTTTATACGCAACACCAAAGGCACGACCTCATTCGCTGCTGGTGAGAAAGTGAATGATACGGTGGCTTTGGAAGACAGTTTGGTAATTTCTTACAAAATTAAACATATAATTCAGCAATTGTGCTCCTAGATATTTACCCAAAACAGTTAAAAATTTGAGCTCTGATAGTTTGACTTCCAATGATTTGGGAGAAGGACATTAAGTCATCATTGTATTATCAGTGTTATACTGAGGTCATCTTGCTTTTCAAATGCTGCTATTCCTCCTTTTAATTACAAATTGCTCTTAATTTAGCTCCGTGTTCATGAATTAACTCTTTTTGTGGGATTCCATGTTGTTTTTGACATTTCTTTGGTAATTTTGAACAAAACTTCTGGGGTGATTACATCAGGAGAGCAATACCTTTTGTCTCTATTGAAAGTGTTCTCCTTTGTTCCATTGAATGTGTAGATTTATGGAAGAAAAGCCATTTCATGAATTGTAGTCACCATGTATAACATGCAGAC